CTATTACTTACATAGTTACTGGCCCCTCTGCCGGAACAATGGTAAGTTAATATTTGCTGACAATAGATAAATATTACTAGTTGGCTTGTCTATCTGTCGTACGGTTTGCTTTTTATTGACTGTCATTCTACCTTCAGCAAATATTGACTTAATTCCATGTTGACTGACATATTTGCTGGCGCTCTCTACTCCTGCCTGCGGGCCTTTTTTGCTGGCATTTTGTTTGACAAATTCTACAACATTTTTCTTTCTCTTTGTTTACTATTAAGCATATATTTGTGGTGTGCTGAAGCAAATACTGTATGACTATTGTCACTAGAACTAAGTACTTACTTTAACTTGACGCCACTGAATCTGCGAAAACTCTTTAAGGTAATGTAAGGCACAAAAAACTGCTACTTCTAGACTGCACTCGCGTTTCTCCCACCTCTCCTAAGCAGTCTAAAGATATTTTTCTTAATGCGCCAAAACTTATTAATATTTTTATAGCCAATTTAAAATTTATTGCTCTAGCTGTGGCAATTATTTTGAGTGTTTTGCTTTACGAGTATTTTATGAGCGAAAAGCATAACTTTTTTTTTTACAAAAAAAACACGCGAAATTATGTTCCAGACAGTTTATTGGTTTATTACACTTATTCGAAATTTTTATTTGTGGCGATTTATAAGCAAGCGGCAAGGTCAATGGGCCAATAAAATTAGGGAAAATTAAGCGGAAGGAGTCTTACTTGCTGAGATGGCTGCCAATCTGAACAGATTGGTTTAATTGCATTATCTCATCGTCTGACTTTGCTAGTGAGACGTATCTTCAGAATCCGTTTCGTAGAGTAAGCAATGCAGAAAACAATTCACCTTAGCAATATTTTGTAGACAGTACCCCACACTCCTTCTGGGGTGACTCTTGGTAAAGTCTGTGCTGTACGTTTAACCCTATAACAGCTATTTTTAATAAACTGATTCGAAACAGCGTTAAAAAGACTCATAATCAAAGGAGTTAAAGATCTAAGCTTCAATGACACTACTCGAAAATTGGCGGGATGAGTTTTTCGTCTTCAGTCACAATATATTTTAACCCTCTAACTGCTATTGTACTGAGCTTAAATGGTACATTATTTAGAGCGTGAGAATGTTCCACGAAAAAAGCACTCGTTAAAATGTGTTATAGGTAGAAGAGGTATGGGTGTTTGCAGTCCTACAAAAAATTACTAGTAAGATGATCAGTTTGCTCCGAAATAGTACTAAATGTGATGAAGTAGAGAAAAATCCCTTCTGGGCTAGACCAAGATCTTAAACTAACTAAGTTAGTAGTATGAATACACTATGTGATCGCCCAGCTGAGTTTCGAAAGGCCTTTGGGAGCTACAATGGAAATAGATGGTTGTCGCAAGAGTGTGGATATGAAAAATCATGCGACGCATATTTACACCTAAGTTTCCAAAGCAGACGAAGGATAGCTAGTTTATTGCTCTGAAGTGGAAGTATTGCAGGCCATTTGAACTACCGAGTCGCTACAGTATTTTTAAAGCTGAATTAAAAGCGGCAGAGTTCCTATCGACCGAGCGGTTCTATTTTCATATTAACACTCAGGCAGCCATTAAGGCTTTACTCTAATATACTAACTACTCGAAGACCGTTACAGAATTAAAGGGGATAATAGTTAGGGAGGTTAGCCATGACAAATCTATTCGCCTATATTGGGTCTCAGTACGAAAAGGGCGGCCTGCTGAATACCTCTCCAGCAACGGAATATGGAAGTCCCCATTGACAAGCTGTTCACAATACGCCCAAACTCACTACCGACATTCACCACCTATTTATAGATCTGGTGGTAAACGAGGACAAGACGAAGTATCTCCTGTCATCAAACAAACAGTCAGAACTGTCGCGGCTTGGCACCCACGTTACTGTTGACAGTTATAATTTCGAGAAAATAGAGAATTTCGTTTACTTGGGAACCAGCATTAACACCGATAATAATGTCAGCATGGAAATCCAACGCATAATCACACTTGACAACAACTGCTACTTTGGACTGAGTAAGCAATTGAGAAGTAAAGTCCTCTCCACGCACGAAAACCACACTCTATAAGTCAATCATCATGCCCGTGTTGGTATATGGCGCATGGACCCTGCCGTGTTGGAAGCATGGACAATTACAACATCCGATGGGGCGGCTCTTGGAGTATTCGAGAGAAAGATTTTGCGGAAGATTTACGGGCTTTTACGTGTTGGCGACGGCGAGTATCGCAGACGATGGAACGATAAGCTGTATGAGCTTTACAACGACATGGACATAATGCAGCGAATTAAAATACAGCGGGTCCGCTGGCTTGGCCATGTCGTTCGAATGAACACCGACGCTCCAGCTCTGAAAGTATACAACTCGGAACCCGCTGGTGGTAGCAGAGGGGGAGGGAGACCCCCACTGCGATGGAAAGATCAGGTGGAGAAGTACTTGTCTTCACTTGGCGTTTCCAATTGGCGTCAGTTGGCACAGAAGAGAAACGACTGGCGTGCTTAGCTTAACTCGGCGAAAATCGCTTAGGCGGTTACAGCGCCAAATAAGAAAAAGAAGAAGAACGGAAGATAGAACTTTACAGGTTTTTTGCTATTAATAAGAAGAGCTGAGCCAAGAACTACTGCTAGCCAGCAGCGAATGCTTTGAAGCTAGGCACTCTAAATCCTATCACTTCCTGCTGATAGCGTTAGCGTTTTGTGTTTGTAGGTAAATTATAAGCATGTACATCGGGTTACCTCTCATACAACATTTCTCCTAGCAATTTTCTCCAATGGTCAGCCATCGTGCTGAAACAAGTTGAACGCATATCAACTAATCTTGGAAAGAAGTAAATCGTAAATTCCCATTAAAATACTTTTGTCCCGTAAAATGACGTTGATCACAGCAGCACGGCGTCCGGAGGTAGGCAAAGCTCCATCAAAGCTATTGGCGATTATATTCCTAATAACTCTATCATTATCTCCACCTCCGTCAGCATATTTCTTCTTAGCTCCCATCACTTTACGTAAATAACTTTAGCCTCACTTACGGAGAAACTAAGAATATTATACCCATCTCTGGAAACTCTGAGACAAAAGACTTTTAGAGTATCGGATTATAGTCTTAGCTTAGGCGCGCATTGTAAATGTAATTGCATTTCTGAAAGTGGTCGAAACCTCCGAAAAGTCTTTCCAATCTACCAACTTATCAACACAAAAGTTGTCTTCCACTCGTGGTAAAGAGTGTACGAAAGCTGTAAATCTGATCAGAAATGGCTCTGCCTCAATGAAGTCACTGTAACGTAAGCTACAAACTATATGAAAAGATACCTAAAGAGAGGAAGGCGTATTTTTTCGCGCTCAGATTCTGTCAACTAAAGCGATAGTAAGTATTTATGGAACCCAATGACTTAGCTAATATCTGCTCTCTTTTCCCAACACCTTTAACATATGACTAACTCATATTTTTGCTCCTTTTTTCTACTCACCTCCTGAAACGATTTACTATAGTTGTAGAACGGATCATTGGGACATTTCTCAATTTCGCTTTTACTGCGTCCAAAGCGACCGCTGAAGCGAAACGATTTCGGCGACAGACGCAACTTAGGAAACGAATCACCGCGCTCCGACTTCTTTGGCTTGGCATGACTCTGTGTAGTTGGCTGTGTTGGTGTTACGCGATCGCTGCCAGTGTTGGTGGATGCAAGAGCCGCAATACCGCCACCGCCACCACCACCACCACCACCACTACCGCTACCATCAAAACTGACATTACTATCGGCGCTACAACTGCCACCCAGTGCAGGTGTAGTGTTGCCATTTTGTGTGTGCACCGAGGATAAGCCAGTATTAGTGAGTGCGGCTGGCGGTGAGGTTAGAGCAGCGGTTAGAGGCGGTGAGGCGCCCTGACTATTGATGAGTGCAGCAAAATTCTCCGGACCATTGCCATGATTATACACATCGGTGCGATAGATGACGCGTACGCCCATTTTAACCGAGGCGCGTCTGTGGAATTTCTCATCCGTTTTGTCGGCTAGATGAAGGAAGAGAAACAAAAGCTTCTGTGTGAGAATTATTAATAGGCTTGAGAGTAGAGTGAGTGAGCGAGTGTGTGAATTCAGTAGAAATTAATCGATAAAAGTAAATCAATCGTTGTCGGGTGTGATAAGAGCGAGAGCGAAAGCGCGTGGATGGAAGAGTAAGTTTGTGTATGTGTGTGTGTGTACTTGGAAAATGTTGATTGCGCTTTAAAAAATTGCCAGTTGAAAGAGGTAGTTGCGTGCGACTAACGAGGCATTGGCCATTCAAATGGCTTTTAGCATTTAATGGATTTTTAAGCTGCTTATCGACCGTACTTTAACTCGCTATATTCTCCTATCCGCTTCTCTCCTGCTTCGTTTAATGCATACAAACATACATATGGCGCTGCACAAAATGAAAAGGATGAAAGTGAAAGTCTAGTGACGACCATAACAGGTATACCTGAAACCACAAAGGATGACCATGTCACATACATTTGAACACCACCAGATGCATGCATGGCGTCTCCTTTTTGGTCACCTGAGCGGCGCAGTTTTTTTGCTCGCTTCGGCTTGCGCTGTAACACTGCTCCCAAAGCAGCTGTGCAATTTCGCTATTTTGCTGTTGTTGCCAATCCTTTTTCTGCTAAATTGGCAGTATGTCCTTTACAACTGACCCTCGACGAAGGTGGACGTGCGACAAAGAGTATTACATACATGCATACATGCATTGTGCGTTGTGAAGTGCCTTCGCGTGTATGCATGCATGTGCTTGTACGGACCTGTGTATTTGAAAGTGTGCCATACATACATAATTGGCGGAAACTTAGTAGCGTGTCCTCGTGTGGACAACGTTTAGCGCATATTTGACTGGGAGCAATTTTGTTAATTACGCAACTGCGTTGCTGTTAGTGTGCGGTTAGTAATCAAAGAGGTAGAATGTCTCCTTGGAGATGACAGCGATTGAGGGTTTATTACTGCTTTGTGGTTTGTTAGAAGTCATGAAAATAATGATGAAGGATAAATTCTAAAAGATATTTGCCAAGATCTGAATCCGAGATTAAACAACAGAATTAAAACTTCAGAATCTGCAGAAAATGCTTTTAAGGTTTCCGACGTGCGTTGAAGATTGCGGATGCCCACAGAGTCGAGATCAGCCAAACACTGACCGAAATAATTATTAAGAGCTAAGAGAGCGAGTAGCTGTCATTAAGAGTACAGCTTTATTTTGATCAGTAGAAAAGTTTTGAGTGGCTGAACGTAGGGTATCTCCAGGTATGAGCAGTGTTAAGTCTGGTTGCGTTACAGCCGTTCTGTAACCTACAATTAAGATTGATAAGGAGAAGTTTTATTACAATTCTTAGGCTCTTTCTGTGAGACAGCTTGGTGCACTGTAATCAATACCTACGTAATTCTCAGGTATCTCCGAGAAGTGCAAAACACAAAATTCCCAACTTTTCTCGATCGGTTGAGTTGCAGCTGTGCGCTTTGACAAGTTGATGCATTTGGATGTGATCCTAGACAGGAAGCTTTCATGGAAGACAAATATTTACAACGGAGTCAAAAAAGGTAGCACTTGCACTAGAGTTCCCAGCAGCCAATTCGCAACAAGGTTGACCCATTCCCCGCAGTCATAAGGCTGAGAAGCTCTGCTTTCTCCTTCAGCCTGAAGTATAACCATGGATTTCATACCTGAATAAGTGGCTTGGTGCATACACCGGCTGGCTCTGATGAAATCTTTCTCAACACACATACCTCTAAGTGGTGAATAAGAGAGTGCAGCTGAAGTGCAGTAAACATTTTCACTAATAGATTGAACTTGGACAGATGGAGTTGTAAAAAGTTTGTTCTGTCCTAGTCAGAATTATTTGTATCCTATAATCGCTCATGGTACGATCTAAACTGGACGGCAAGTGTCTGAACTTCATCTTGGCCTGGCCGGATTATGTACATCCGAGTCCGTTTGATTTAGGACCCAGGGCGTAGTAACTTTTCTGGAAACGGCATGGCAGATGAATTAGCTCCTGTGATATTATTTGTAGTTGCCTCAGCGAGCGTTGTGCGGAAGCCGTCACCTGGAAAGTCTTTGTGTACGGCAGTCGAGGAGTTTCCCGAACCGGCTGAGAGCCAAATGTCATTGCCGAAAGATGCCTTAATCTGGTACTTTTTTATAAGGAACCCATGCCTTACGACTGAATATTGGTTCGGACCGCTCTTGCCGTAGCTTAGTATTTCCTTCTCATCTACTTTGCTTTCACTATACTCAGTTTTAAACGCCTGATTATCCATCCTCACTAACAAATAAATTTTAAGATTGAGCACCTAGTAGCTATAAACAACATCTCTTCGTGGGGCTCTGCCCCCAACTCAACGTAATCTACGAGTATTATGGATCTCCTCAAGTAACTAGCACACTGGTGTATAACTTGGAGTAAATTTGATTTATACCAAAATTCGTAAATTTACACCAAGTTATACACCAGTGTGCAACTTGAGTCCTTACCACTGTCATTCAATATCATTATTTATATATTATCAAATTCTTACTCGCAATGCTTTCGCATGCATATTCGCATTCGTGTTCGCATTCATTTTCATATTCACATATTCGCTATTCATATTCATACCCATATTCTTATTCAGTACTCGTACTCATGTTCTTATTCATATTTATACTCGTACTCATATTCATATTAATATTCATATTCATATTCATATCCATATTTATATTCATAATCATTTTCACATTTGTATTGATATTCGTATTAATATTCATATTAATATTCATATTCATACTCAGTATTCATACTAATATTCATATTCATACTCATATTCATATTCATACTCATATTCGCATCTATCAGGCATGTTCTGCAATTCACTCCCGAGTGAATTTCAATGAAATCCCTGCCAATTTGGCAGGGGTTTAAATACACCCGGAAGTGAATTGCAGAACCTGCCTGTATATTTAGTATTCATATTTATTTTCAGTATTCATACTCATATTTATGTTCATACTCATAATCGTATTCATACTCATATTCGTATCTATATTCAGTATTCATTTTAATATTCGTGTTCATATGTATATTCAAGTTCAAATTCATATTCATGTTTATATTCACATTCATATATATAGTCATTTTATTATTTATTATTTATTGATTGATACTCATATCATATTCATATCCATATTCCCATATATCACATTTGTATTCATATTCACATTTAATTTCATATTCAAAATTCATATTCATATTCATACTCATATTCACATCTATATAAATGTCCATATCATATTCAAATTCACATTCATATTCATTGTGATATTCATATCTATATTCAGTATTCATATTCATATCCATACCAAATTCATATTCATGTTCATTTTCATATTCATATTTATATTCATATTCATATTCATATTCATATTCATATTCATATTCATATTTATATTCATATTCGTATTCCTATCGCATTTGTATTCGTATTCCTTTTGACATCAAAGGCGTCTTAGATCGAAATCATAATTTCTTTGATTCGCTTACCAATAGTTTTTTCTATTTTTCCGACTTTTTCATCCTCAGCAACGCTTCATATTTCAACCAAGTTAAGCTACTTACTGAGCTGATTCCTTTTCGATTACTTGCGTTTTCTATTGTTTCATTGCCTGCTAAAGGATTCTGCATATTTTCTACTTTTCCTTCTTGTTTAAATTCCAGTCCAATCTGCTGCTCTTTGAGGATTATTTTTTTTCACTTGGCGTTTGATTTGAATAAGTACATATCGGCGGCAGTGTGCATAGCTGCATATTTAAATCGGGATTTAATAAAATTTTCGTTGCTCTGATGCAATTGAATTTCTGTATTTGATTGGGTTGTTGGTGTCTGAACATTCCAGAGCACTGCGGAAAGGCCAAAGCATGCTGCGGTTGGAACAGTTGAGATTGGCTTTATGTAGTTAAATAAATTTTCTGTATTATTCCATTTCAGTTCGTGAGAAATGTCTGTATGTTTGCACATACATTTTTGCTATTGATTGTGTTATTGTGGATTTAGTGAAATGATTCGACCAAGAAATTCAATATTTGCTCATTTCTGTGGATTTATTGAAAATATGTATAATCGCACGAGAATACCATCGTTTAAATATTAAAACAAAGCTATTTATCAAAATTTAAAAATTCCTTTTTTAAAATGTATATGCACCTTTTTTCATTTGTGCTGATGTGCTAATATTAAAAAAAAATGTTTATTACACAGTTTTGCCTAAATTTCGTTCGAAACCCAGTACTGTTTAATTGGTCAGATTTGAGCTTTATATGGTTAAGGGTATTTGTTTCTAGAGACACCACTTCAGGGCGATGCTGGGTGAAGCCAAAAGAGAGCAAAATCTACATATTGCAGTCGTTAGCTGTATTTGACTTACATTTTTTTTTTTAAAGGAACGTATTTTAAGTTGGGTTACAGGCCTCTCACTCTTCTTATAAAATATACGAAACCTGCTTCCCATTTTTCCGCTGCTTATAATTTTTGGTATGCAGTTTGTTATATGTCGCCGGTCATCTGCAAAATTTGGTATGTAAGTCAACCTCAATTATCTGTTTTTCTATCATGTGTCATGTGTCAGTTGTCAGCAATTATATGCTAAATTTAATTTAAAATAGCCAATAACCAAAAATTTAAATTTAACAATTTGATTTCTTGAACCACTCTTGTATTTTTCGCTGTCATTTGTCATGTGTTAAATTTGGATTTTAGTTCTCATTAGATTTGGTTATGAAGAACTAATTCGACAGCTGTTTTAACTGTTGTTTGTAGTTGCTTAGCAGTCATGTGTCAGCTGTCAGCTGTCATTGGTTAAATATCGTATAAAAAAGTAAAATTTCTATCGATTTTAACTATTGTAATTTTATATTGACTATCTGTCATAGGTTTCAATCTTTCTTAGAATTGAAAATTTTTATTGAATTTTTGTCAATTTTAATGCAATTTAATACGTTAACATAAATTTTCTTCGCCTTCGTTTGGCGATTCTACCGAACACATTTCAAAACCAAGAACACCGTTGGAAAGGTATTTTTGTGTAGATGACTGATAGTTTCAAAGTTATGGCCAAAATCGTCAATTAAAAATTTACGCATTTGTTGCAACCTGTTTAATTTGAGTGAATTTCGCATTTTGTTTCACTTCGGGTTGGATTTTGTAATGAAGATACATGTGATGATGAAGAAATAAATGATAACGCTTAAGACAAAAAAGCTAAGGAAAATTTGAAGATAAAGAAAAGAATGACAACAATAAGAGATAAACAAAAATTAGGGTAGCTGAAAGGTTAAGAAAATTTATTGAAAATTTTCAATGGGAATCAAAATAAATTTAGTTATAAAAAATTTTGTTTTTTGAAGATTATTAAGTTGCCGAAATTCATCGAATCATTGAATTTTGTAGTTATTGCAATTTATCGAGTTATCCATGTGTGTTGAGTTGTCCCAACATATCGAATTATTATCGACAATGGATTAATGTTTTTTGAGTTGTTGAAATTTATAGACACAGAAAAAGAGTGGTCAAAATTTACGGATTTAACGAACTATAAAAATTCATTTTATCGAAATTTGTCAAGTTAATAGAATTTTTGAAGTTATTGATATTTGTTGAACTATCAATATTTATAGAGTTAACGAAGTTTATCGAATAATCGTAACGCATCGACTTCTTTCAAATTATCCAGTAATCGACATTTATTTATTTACTGAAATTCGTCGATTTATTGAATCGAAGTTTTTGGAATTTTCAAATATATAAATTTATCAATTTATCACTGCTTATCAGAATTTATGGGGTTACCATAGTGTAAATTTGTCGATAGCATTACAAAATATGAGCTAAGAAATTGACCAAGTTATCGAAATTTATATAGGCTTCCCAAGTTTATCGAGTTATCGATTTATATCGAGATATGTACATTTTTGTGTTATCGAAATTTATCGAGCCATCAAAAGTAGTCGATCTATCGATTTTTTTATGAGTTATCGGATTTTAGTGCTTTTGAAATTTATTGAGTTATCGATATGTATCAAATTATCGAAATTTATCGACAAACTGGAAGGTGTCGGGCCAATTCCTAGTCCCGTAAAAGTCCTCGAAAAACCTTGAAAGATATAAAAATTTCAGTCAAGTTTTAATTTAAAAGCAGGGGATTTTCCGGTAAATAATGTTCCACCTTACATATATATAAGTTAACGACATGTTAAGTTAGAAAGCCTGCCATGTGTCAGCAGTCTACTGTCACATTCTGAATTCGGTTTATAGGAACTCATTTTCATCACCTTGAACTAACGACAGCTTTTTCTTAACCTATTTTTAGGTGCTTTTCAGGTATTTGTCGTGTGTCACGCGTAAACTATTATTTGTTAAATTTTGTATGGAAGCAACAATTGGGTAAAATTTTTAATAATAGGAGTCATTTTTATTTCGCCCCTAAATTTTGTTTGGTATGTAGTACCAATTCAAGTACTCAAAATTATTACTCACATACATCGTATTTTCCATTTGGCTTTGTTTGCCTGTCATATGTCATGCGTCATCTGTCATCTAAATTTAATTTTAAAGAACCACTTTTTCTAAGACTATTTATCGACCACTCTTTTTCCAACTCATGTGTCATGTGCCATCTGTCAGCTGTCATTTGTTGAATTTGCTTGGAAAAGTCATTGGCCAACGCTTTTTAATCTTTTTTCAGATCTTCTCGTCTTTCGTTTGTTGTTGTAACCCTGTCATATGTCAGCTGTCATCCTTTCAATTTTACTTATAGATAAGCTGAAACCCCTTACGATTTAAGAAATTCTTACCACAATGTATCATAGAACTAACTCAATTTCCTCTAAGCCATTATTCATTTTTCGCAGTCATTTGTTTACTTGCGCCAATTAGAATTTTCAAAGTCAAAAAATTTATCCAGCAGAATGCATTTAAAATGAAAATATTGAAGCTAATTTAAAAAAGCAATCAACGGCGTTGCTAGCCTGGACACTTTAATGTTTATTATTGCATTTTCGCACCACAAAGGCAAGCAATTGCCGCAAAGCTCAGCAACTATTTGCGCGACTCGCGACGAAGCGAACAAATTCCAGTGATAACAAAATGACGGTAACACCTCATACCGCATACATATATACATACATACGTACGCATTTCTAAGCGTATAAAGAGTATGTGCTTAGATATGTGAATACCGTAGTTAAACGGATTTCCGTTATATACGCGGAGCTGTTGCGAAAGTGTTCGTGGCGAATAACTGAATAGAGTTGAGTAACGCGATATCGGCGTGCAGGATATTCAATTTCCGGTTTAATGAAATTGCGCGTAGGTAAAACTTACATAGGAAGCATATGTAGAGACTCACTAGCAAATGTGGGTGCTAATTCAAAAGGGGTATGAGCACAAAGAAAAAATTTAGAAAAAGTTGCTCATACGTCCAGTGGCGCGCTACTTGATATTTTTATATATTTTTTTCAATTGTAACTCGCAAGGATCGAACCCTTTGATACACTTACTTTAAAGTGCGCATTCTTAATGTGATTAGCATTTTGCACAAAGAATATATGTACATACATATGCATGCTTGTTATAACTGAATTTTTTCCTCGGGGTTAAACTATTTTTACTGTAGTTAATTTTTCATTTTCTCAGCGCGCATTCTAATTGCTCATAGTTTCCTTGAATTGCTTTCGCCGCAAATGCTTTCAATTATCATTATTATTGTTAAAATTTCCTTAGTTGCCAGCAACCACTCGCTTTTTGCATTCAAAGCATACCATTCGCACTGCCTTCCTGCCCACTCAGCGCATTCAAAATTTTAACTTTTCAGTTTTTTCATTTTTGCATTTCTAGCATCATTCATTTCCTGCTCAGTTACAACTTTTCACCCCACTACCACTTACCTATGAAACAGCGCACATCGTAGCTGGTGCCGATTGGTGCGCCATAGTACCGTTTTGCCGGCACTAATTGTACACTGGGTGGCGCTTGTGGCGTTAAGGTGAGCGTGAATGGGTGCGCACCATCGCCCAGACGTTTCACTAAGGCTTCCTGCAATGAAGTAAAAGGTAAGATATATAGCACCGAGTATAACAAATTTGTGTTAATGAAGAATATTTCACAATGGCAGGGAAGCAAATAATAGAAGAAGAACTTCAATTAAATGTTTTAGTTAAATGAAAGCAGAAATTTCTTTGGGAAAGTGTTATGAATGCAAGGTATTTTGTAAATATTAAGAAAGAAGGACAACAAAATAAAATTTCAATTAAAAAAATTCCAATGTGGTATCATACAATTGGTTTAGGTCGCTTCATTTTCCTTTCCCTGAGTCAAGCGTAAACTTTATAGACAAACTGAACACCAAAATTGACCTTGTCTGGTTTACTTAACTCTTGCAAAGTGGCAAAATTGCTGCAGTACAGTGAGACAGCGCATCTACCCGGGCAAGACTAAGTAGAGATACATACCGGGGGAAAGTTCTTAGGCACCCTGTTTCAACTTATGCATGCATACTGAATCTAGCGGAGCCCTTTACGCCTCCACTAGCGAAGCTCTTAACGCGACTCTACATTTGCCCCGCTTGGTGCAATTGCTTGAGGAATAACCGATATTATATCTTTATGACACAGACAGGCAGGTTTATGGACCCACAGAAAATCTGGCCACTCCAAAATCCCAGAGATAAGGGCGCCATACCGTTACCTGCAAGTACTGATTACTGCATACCCTCACCAAACCCGGTAAAAATACCATACCAACTCGAAAGGACTAGAATACCAGGCCTCACCAGGCATAAGCAATGCAATAAACATGTATACTGATTGCTCCAAACTCGACAGAACGATGGCGGGAGGAGTTTTCTCCCCGGTGCTGGAACTAGAAACATATTTTTGGCTCGCACCACTGCAGTGTATACCAGCCATTGGTTCTGGCTATCCCGGAGGTAACTCTGCACCAATTAAGAAGACCCAATGTGAAAATACAAGTCTTTATCTTATCTGATAGTTAAGCAGCCCTAAAAGTCAGACACTTACGCATAGACAACACAAAGTCTCTCACTGAAAGCCGCAGATCTCTAAACGGGATGGCTCAGAATTATATGGGTGCCTGGACACTGCAACTATAACTGCAAAGCCGATGAATTGGGCAGGAATAGTACGACCATCCCTTTCTTGCGGGGAAGGTTAGGTTAGGTTGCAAACCCGTGTAACCGGGACTCACTTAGAAAATAAGGAGATTGTCCTTTGCGTTACCACATTACGAATTTGGCTAATTTGAATGCCCCAAAGCTCCTTCGGGCTATTAAGGATGTGAGTAATTCAACTTTAGCCTCGCAAACGCTGGGCACCAGAGAAGGTAGTCATCCTCCAGGCAACTGAGACATACGGGGTGCGGTTATATGTTCAGCTTTGCTGCGTGAATACCGATTGGACAGTGACTCGTTAAAATCGCCACCATAAGTGGGAGCTGTGGCTTTGTGTGTGTGAGGAGTGACGTCGGCTGCCCTCTGTCCATCCTTGGCCAGAAGTACCTTGCCATTGTGCATGTCCTGGTTTTCACCCAGTGCACGCTGAGCTGACATGAGGCCCATCTATCAAAGAGTGTACCACAAGCGATCAATGGCACCCTCGGCCGCTCTTTATTCGGCGATAACATTTCACGAGTGCCTTTCCTGGCCAATTCGTCAGCCACGCAGTTCCCTGCAATGTCGCTGTGACCCGTAACCCATATAAGTCTAATGCAGAAGTATTCCGATTCGACCGAGAGAGAGCGCAGACATTCCTTAGCCAAGTTATAATGCACCTCCAACGTCCTTCAGTCCCTAATAGCTACTTGGCTCTCAGAATAAGTGCTCACCTCTCTGACTGGCATAGCAATCCGTAGCAGTGAATCCACTGCCTCCTTGATAGCAGCCACTCCCGCTCTCGACAGAAGAAGAAGTTCACCGCTTCCCTTCTTCAGAAGTTCCACCCGGCCAATCTTCCCCTGAAGGAAAGTAGGTAGAGAAGAAGATCCTAGGAACCATTTCGGTGGCGCAGTAATATGTGCGATCGGGGAAGACATCGAAGCCCATTAGAACACCAGAGTGTCCAGTCATTAAATCGGTCTAATAGCCGCGGAAATTTTGCCTGGACGGCGTCAGCCACCACGTTCAGTGCTAATATGGGGTGGTCCGCAGTGCCCCAGTAATACCGATTAAAGTAGCCCGTAGTACGCGCCCCAGCTAATTAGCTAGGGTAGCCTTTTCAAGTGAGTTCCACCAGACGAGGAGCAGAACTTGGTAGGTATACCAATGGCTACTTTTAAACTACAAGTTAGGAACAGCACCAAACAAGCGGCAAACGAACGCTGGAGAAATCTGTCTTTCTGTGAAACTGCTACGCTTGCGTGGCCTTCTTACAATAAAAAACGCACGTCTGTTCTCTTAGATTAAAACGAACCGAGATATCTTTTCTCACAAGAACTCTTGGAGGTCACTGTCTAATCGGCGCACATGCCTCCAGCTTGGTAGTGATGTGAAGAAGAAGAGGAGGGTGTGCAACACGTTTTATGCGAATGCCCAGCGCTCAGCAGAAGAGGACTACAGACGCTCGGAGCACTATAAGACCTTGCGGAGATAGCGGAAATCAACAATAGATAATAATCGAAGTTTATTACGAAACCAATTCATGAAAAATTTCCATTCAAGATTTACTGTATTTAATGATTTAATGACCTCAATGACGTTCGAAATTATTTGACGGTTGTGAAATAAGACACTCATTGAATTGAGCATACCCACGCCACTATAACATTTTATAACGTCTGGGAAAATATTTTAAAGTACATTAACAGTTACATATATTAATACAATAATTCACAAAAGAATATGAATTAAATAGTATGCGCTAGACATTCCTAGTAGATCTCAATTTCAGCTCCCCCAAAACCCAAAAGGCGACTCGAATCATAATTAATTGCCTATCACTTACAGCTACATACATACATATAAATGGCGGCTGTGGCATACCCAGCCAACCAAATGTGGAGCGCTCCGTATATGGAGTGAAAAGGGATTCCCAGAGCAACACCTGGTAGTTGAGTTTTGGGAATGCTCCGAATATGGAGTGAAAAGGGAGTCAAAATGTTTTTTGTATGCTGTTTTATTTTACTTGCATCTAGTCTGTTAGATGAAAATGAAATTTTCAATCAAGAAAAGGGTCGTCGTTCCTGGAACGGGAAACTAAAATAAAAATCTGTTGACGGGATGGCAGTTGCGAATGCAATTAGGGGTAAGCAATAATGCATAAAAAATTATTTCTTGCTAACTTTAGAATTTTTCAAGTGCATTTTATAGAAAATTTGCTGGTTCTGACAAAGAATTCAATAGAGCGAGCGCAGAGTGGCTCCACACTTCAAGGGAACGTCTTTAAAAAAAATATTTTTTTTTTTCATTATTTTAGATTTATTTTTTTTTACTGAATACTATGTTAAACAGCTACTTCTGGGCGGCCGCTGGGGTGTAGAGGTGGCCGTTAAGCTGTAGTGGCAAGCAGTGCGCGCTTCCGCTATGCAGGGACAGGGTTCTACTCCTGCAACATCGCAAAAAATTAGGAAAAAGGTTTTTTTTAACAGCGGTCGCCCCTCGGCAGGCAATGGCAAACCTCCGTATGTATTTCTGCCACATGCTCCTTTGGGACTCTTTTCAGAGCCTCCCTAGGAGCATAAGCGCACGGTACAGGGAGTCCTAATCGTGCACCCTGCGGACTCCGCTGGTTGGCTGGGTATACACACAGCCATACATATAATACTGACATTGATACACCATCTCAAAAGCAGTCAAATCATTCATAATTATGTAGAAATGTAAGTGCATGTATATGTATGAGAGCCCAAAGCAAGCACAACGCCTATTTACATAAATAAGCAGCTCCATCCAACCATAGCTCGATCTATTATTGGCCTCGAGTTCATAGATTCATTCATTAACACACAGATGGCATTTCAATGACACTTAGCTGCGCAAATCAAGAGTTAGCGTTGTTGATTTTGGAAAGCTTCAACGAAATAACTAATTAGCAAAATATGAATTTTAGTTTGACAGAAGGCATATTAATGTCTTCAACTGTATAAGCACGTATTATACGAATGTATGTACATTAGGGTGGTCCAAAATAAGTGAAGTCGGAATTTTAATGCTTTGACCCTAGGATTATTCTATATCGAAAAAATATACCCCTATTTTTTATTTTGAAATGAAAAAATATATTAGAGCTCGCTCAAAGTTTTCCAAGTAGTTTATATGCGGTAAAAACCACTTTTAGTAGAAATGGTATAGAATGCTTGAAAATCAACATTTTTCGATCGGAATACTCTGTTATCTTCCGGAGACTTCAAGCAACAATACCCAATTGTTTATTTAACTATTATTCAATATTAAAGATTTTTTATTTATCCGCCCATTGCATTTTTTGCGTTTTCTGGGAGACCTATAAAATATTGTTACTATAAAAAAATGGTTGAATAAATAATTTGTTATTATTATTGGGAATCTCCTGAAGAGAAACAGGAGTTTCCGACCGAAAAATATTGATTTTCAATCATTTTATACCACCCTATTGTACATACATACATACATATATATCGCAGACGTAAACATCCACTCAGAAGAAGTTACTGTTGGAATTGTTGGCATAGCTTTTACGCCTTCTTTGCGTGCTGCCTTAACTCTCGTACCACATTAAAATTTATGAAGGAAATTCGCGGAAATTTTTGTTAGAAGGAAGTCTTTTCGATTCCAATACGATGCACAGTGCTTCCCTCCCATCTAAAATGTGGGCAAAAATAGAATTATGGACGGATTTTTATGAAAATTTGTTTCTTAGTGAATTTGTGGACGTTGACTTCAAAACTGCAATTTGGTTTTCGATAACTTTCGTACTTTCACCGTAAACGTAGTTTGTAGTTGAAAATTTGGGTTCTTATTGCATTTATATATAAATAGATATGTAGATACTTATATGTAGTTCGTTCTATTTTCAAAAGTGAGCTGCCAAATTACAAGGCTTGGCCTGTAGATATGCATTTAAGTTTTATTTTTCGCGAAAGGGTTGCCACCTGTTAAAAATTGCATTAAAATTATTTAATATGTTTAATTAATTAGATATCACAATACGGGTATCAATCGAAATGGGGTTGAAAGTGCTTTACTTCAAAATTACACTTTAAAAAATCTAGTTCAATTTAATCGGGGGAATTAGGTAACTGAAATATGTGTATCAGACAAAAGAAAAAATTTTACCCAAAAATAAGTGAGGAGTAAAAACATTCTGAAACCTTAAAGTTAATTTAAGAGTGCAGATGGTCAATTCCTGTTTTACTTTATTGCGAAGTGATAAATATAACTTTTTTAAACTGCATTTATTTCGGTGTTAATACTTTTGTTATACTTTTCACTTCACTTCAAGATAACGCAGAACGGGAATTGACCCTCAGTTATTTGAAGGGAATGTAAACAGAACAAATCATTGAGAGATTGGCAATGTATGTATTTACATATGGTAAACATTTCGTTTGACACAAATATTATTTTAATTAAAGTAAATTTGACTTTACAAGCAGGTGGCAATCCACTTCATTATATTTTCAAGCTAAAACCTCTTTCGTCTGACTCCCATATGGTGATACCTATCCGTTTCAATTACCTAACTCCTTTAATTCAAATGGAATTTATTTTTTAAACTGGTGGCAACTCCCCTAAATTAAATTAAGAAGTATACCCATTTCGAAAAAAATAAACTTTTTAACTACGGGCCAAGCTTTTTAATTTGACACCTCGTTTTGGAAAATCGAAAGAATCGTACAATCTGATAGCGCTGATAAAAAAGTGATTTTATGCAATAGCAAAAACGCATTACTTCAAAAAGTGCAAAAAATTAGCAGGTTTTTATTTTCTCCTTCGAAAGCTAAAACCTGTACTATTAAATAAAATAATTAAAAATAACATATTTTTACATATATTTTTGTTCATTCCATTAAAAATTACAAATTTTGGAAATTTGGATAAAAAAAATTGTTTTTATGGAATACCGTAGGGCCACTATGTGTTTTATTTTATTTCAAAATTTTTATTCTTGTACTTCTCTGCTATATATATATAGAAATGAAAAACGTTACACCAACATTTTATTTCAAAGAATCTATTTTTGACATTCATTTCCATCAAGAGCTTTCGCATGGCTATGCTCTGCTTAAAACTCTTAGTACAAGATTTGTTGATTTTAGAGGCTTCTTGGCGCCATATCATTTATTTCATAGGGAAATTTCTGTTTAATTATTTTTAGTGGATAAATCATACCAAACAAGTTCACATTGCAGACAACGAATTTTTCGATATTTGCCCACTTAGGCGGCACTGTGCGACATCTTGTCCACGTAGGTGTTGACGACTTGAAGCTGTTGCTTTTAGAGAAGCCTACTCACCTGACTGCGCTTTTACAAAGAAGCTCATAAAATAATCATTCATGATTTTGATTGCTTCCTCTTTTATGTTTGTTTCTTACCTTTTTGTTGCTTACTGTCTCTGTTACATTTCAGCAGGTTTTCGGCGGAAATTTTATGAAATACTTAAATAAATATGGAAAGCCATGGTAATCAGCGAAATCCATTACCGTACTTCCTACCAAGCCTGCACCCAGGCAGCTCTTTCTGCACTCATTTACTTTCAATAATGAATGAGTTGGAAGAAGTTGCTGAAAGTGAGGCACATTAGACATTTCTACGGAAGCGTTTATCTCCAAAAAGCTGCAGCTGCCATTAACACAACAGCAGTCAAATGGTTGCTCAAATGCGTTATGTAAATATGGAGACTCTGTTAGCTATAAGCGGCAGTAAAGTGTTCGAATTAATCAGACTGCCTTCAAAAATAGTAAGAATATGCTTGGTAAGAAGAATTAGTGGCGTCGAAAAATTTCCTACTAGTCCTTAAGGCGATGAGTTGATTATGAAGGGTACTTCTCAAAAAGTAAGGAGAGAGTTGGAGTAGTTGGTATACTCTTTGACAAATCATCATCCGAAAAATATAAGCTGAGCTCTTGCTGAACGAAAACCTAGAACCTGCCCAACCATAAAGTCAGGCGGGGGTTAACGATCCAAAGAAACTTTTATCAGCTGCGAAGTCCGAGTGGCCATCGGGAAGGTAAAAGGCTGTAAAATCATTGGCCCCTAAGGAAGATGTGAGGTGAATCGGGACTGTTAGAATCAGGCTATCTCACCAAGGTACCCAACCCATTGACCAATGTACTCGTAATTCGCAGCTTATAGAAACTAGGGAGGGTGGTCGCAATAAACAATCCGGATAAAAGATGCCAACAAAGATGGTCCCAGCAGCCTGAGCCCTCCTATTTCCAGTAATGAAGGTTCTGGAAGCCTCGATACCCCTAAACCTCACGTGCCACCTGATGCCAGCAAAGATTTAAGATGACTCCTGAAGAGCGCACAGCACCACTTAAGCACTTAAAGCCTTGCGCTTAACCGTGACGGCCTTTTGAAGTACTGGTTCACGAGCATTCGGTTTTCCGAAAGCCTTCGGCACAGTTTCTCACTACATGCAAATCTTCTCAGCGCAAATATCGCAACCCAGAAAAATTAGAACGTAGTTCTGTTAAAGTTTTACATATCGAAGCTCCCTCGACTGTGAAGAAGCAAAAAAAAATGGTCGGCATAGCAAATATCTGTGAACTGAGGTCCAGTACTAAGGACGCCCAGAGTTATGTCGCTAAAATTACTAAATATTTTGACATAGTTCACATAAATCCATAAGACGACGTGTGGGTCAGCAGTAGTTAGGTGAAAATTGTTTAATATAAAAAACAGAATAATAAAAATGCTACCACTCTGACTGCCTTATAAATTACAAGTGACTCAGTATTCGTGGCAAAATTATTTGAAAAAAAAAACTGAAAATATGCATATTAAATGCGAATTTGATATGAATTTATGCAGCACGAAGGTCAAGAAAAATCAGAACAAAGGAAAACCATAAAACTTATTGACGTAAAAATTTACTTAACAACCAGCGAAAGGTATACGGGTCAATCCATGTCAAGTCGACCATTTTTAATTTGGAATAACGAAGTTCTGCCTAAGGGGAAAAAATTAAAATGTCAAAGTTATGCTATATAAAAGAAACGAATTTTAAATTTTTTTCGAAGGAGATTGTATTTAGTTACAAAAATGGTTCTGGTATCGTTGTAAAGGTGATATTCGGTGCTATAAAAAAATCATAAAAAATTTCAGTATTTCAAAAACAAGATTTTTATAAATTTTTTGCTAATTTTTTTTATACAATACTTCCAAATGAATTTTAAATATCCTGAAATTCGAAAGGTTGTTTTAAAGAAATTTAGAGATAGATTGTTTTTTTGCAAACTCTAAATTAAAATGCATTTAAGTCAAATAAAATTTTTTAACATACCGTTATTTAAAAATTACAAAAGAAATTTCCCGAAGTTCAAAAATTCCTTGAAAATTTCAGCATTTTAGGCCAAAAATATTTATAAATTTCTGCTTCAACGCTTTTTTAGTTTAAAAATTTGGTTATTTTTTGGAATATTTTAATTTTATTTAAATATCAGGCGAGAGCAGAACAGATTTTATAGCTATAAGAGTTTTTAGATATCCAAAGAATAAACTTTCAAAATCCCGGAAATTGTGAAACTGAAAATTAAAATATTTTTTTTTGAATTTTTTTCTTTTTCAGAGCTTCATTATATGATAAGGGAAAGGTTCTGACTAAAATTCATACAAATCCAAACTGGCCGAGTGCAAACATTGGTCAATTTGACATGGATTTACCCATACGTAGTACATAAAAATGTCTGGGAGCCTTGGTAGCGCACTCACCTGCAGTGGACTAAGCGATTCAAGCGCCGGCTCCTCATTCCTGGGCCAAACTTGATGCAGCGACATGATGGCCTCATTGCAGAAACGTAAACCCATCACTTCTTCATCCTCGCGGCCATAGCTATTGTAAAATTGATTGAAAAGAAAGAAGATAAACAATTTGTGAGTTATTTAATTGAGAATGATGGAGCAGCAGCAAGGCAAGAAGACTTTGACGTGATGTGCATACATCAATACATATATGTATACATGGAAAATGTTATTAAGATGATTGAGGAGGGAGAAGATCGGAGGTTAAAAGAAAACTGTTTATAATATATGAGCATTCACACAAATGGAAACATACACATCCATACACACATACGTATTCACTACACAAATATTTTGGTATCAAGCAGCGAGGGAAAATGAAATTTCATGTATGTAAATTGGATTTGCATCAAGTTTGCATTCATATGCAGCTTAAAGTGACATTTTTTTTTTATTGATTTAATGAATTCTAAATGAAGGATTTCGTTAAACTGAAAAGGGTTTGTATGTAAATTATAAAGGAAAAATTGCAGAAGCAATATTAAAAGCGAGTAGTTCAAGTAGCGTCAGCACGATTCTGATTTAGTCATATTTTCTATCGTCTATAGACGTTACTATACTAAAAAAGGTGCGCCTATTATAGTTGTGCAAAATTACACCGAAAAAAATAATTTTTTTCAGAAAAGTCGATAAAGCTTACTGTTTGAAAAAATAAAAAATTAAAACTGATCTGAATAGCTTTTCAATAGTTCTAGAGTTACTGAAAAGGAAAGTTCGGCAAAATTATATCGAAAAAATCATTTCTTTCAAAAAAGTCGAAAAAGTTAAATTAAAAAAAAAAATTAAAACTTTTCTGAGTATCTTTTCAATAGATGTAGAGTTCCTGAAGAGAAATAAGTGAATAGTAAAAACGAATATTTTTTTTCAGCAAGCTTTCTAAATATGAACAAAATTGGACCATAAATACTGGTTACTGAATATATCGACCTGTGCGCCACCTATCGACAACATTTTTAATGGAGTTATTCCTTTTCATGTAGTTAATATACGTTTTTAATTATGAACCAAATCGGACTGTAAGGATGGGTTTTTTAAATATCTCGGTGGCTCCTGCGCCACCTATCGGATAAACTCAACATTCGTATTGCATTGTCATCGAGTTCTGAGCCAACTGTGAAATTTCAAGTCTCTAGGTCATAGAGAAGTTGGTTAAAAATTGATTGCAAGATTTGCCCTTAACAAATATACTTACATACATACATACAGTGCAAGTTAAATAAAAGATTGTAAAAAAACATATTTTCAAAAAAGTTGAAAAGTTTAATTCAAAAATATAAGAATTGAAACATTTCAGGAATTCTAGAACTATTGAAAAGCTACTCAGAACAGTTTTATTTCTTTTTTTCAAAAAGCAGACTTTGTCGATTTTTTTGAAAAAAAAGTTCTTTTTAGCGTAATTTCGCAGTAATAACTTTTTTCTCACGAATTTTAGAACTATTGAAAAGCTACTCAGAAGTTTAATTATTTTTATTTAACTTTTTCGACATTTTTGAAAAAAAAAAATGTTTTTATCGGCGTAATTTTGCAGTAATTTCTTTTTGCTTTTCAAGAGTTACAGAACTATCGCCTTTTTGCCAAATGTCGTATACTGCGTGAATCTGACATTCAAAATTTTTGAATTTTTTTTTGTCCAAGTATACAGAACTTTTTTTCCTTTTCAAGAACACCTTAAAACTATTGAAAAGCTTCTAAGATCCAAAAGTAAAACAAATCTGTATTTCTTGATTTACATTAGTTATAAAAAATGAAGTTAGGTTCAAAAAATGAGGTAAACATGTTTTACAATCTTGAAATGTCCGAAAAATTCTGAAAACATTACAAAAATAACATAAGAATAATACTGAAAAAATCCTTAAAAGTTCCGAAAAAGTCCAAAAGGCTTCTTAGAAATCCCGAAAATTGTTACGAGCAAAAACCCGAAAGGTCCAGAAAAACGCGAAGGTTTCAAAAAAATTTAAAAATCTGAACCGAAATAGTCCCGAAAAGCTAGAAAAATGTACAACTCAAGTTGGCAAAGCTGCTATTCGAAAATGGACTTAATAGCCCTACTCCCACGAGATGATAAAACCCGCCTACTTCGCCTTAAAATGAGCCACTAAAAATATATTTTATTAAAGCATTTGTTTGTGTTTAAAAGCGATTTTTAGTTATTTCCGTGAATCTCGTCATCTTGAAGGAATATTTCATTCGAATTCGTTCATACGCTCATCATGTTCTCACACTGTCTCTGGAATCAATCACAGCCAAAAAATAAACTCGAATTTTAAGTTTCTAGTTGAAAGCATAAAGATTTGAAATATATTTTTGAATTGCTTAATTATATTTGTACATGCATTATATTTACTTAGCATATTTTAGTCAATACTCACCGAAATGTCAAAGTTAACTGAGCATAAACTCGGTAACCTTGTATCGCTTTGGGATCCACATAGATTATTCCACGTAGTATAGCTGGATTATTGCCGGAGAGTGTAATCTCACGTGATGGTAAATACAGGGTAAGCACACAATTTGGTGAGGTCTTCTTGTAGACACGCTGTGTGCCGAATTCGTCTTTGTGGGCGCATCTATTATCCCTAAAAGATTAGAATTAAAAATACATACATGCATTATAATGTCAATATTAAAGGTTTTTATAGGCGGCATACACCGTGCGTCTGGCTCGTGAGTCGGTTTGGATGTGTTTGTGAAAATAAATATGTGTTAGTTACACCAAAATGACTCCCGGTAGACTGCGAATGATTCGGCTGTGTGTAGTCGAAGGCGAGTCAAAACGTACACAAGTGACTCGCGAGTCAGACGCACCGTGTATGCCGCCTATTAAAGAGTTCGGTTTAAACTTTTTTTAAATAAAAGTTTAAGTAATTTAGACTACAAAGATATGTATATACACGTATTTATGTATATTTACGTATTTATAATCAGCGGATGGCCTCCTAGTGAAGGCGTTTGACTTCTCAAATGTCCAAAAATATAATCTAACTCAATCGAGAGGAGTACTTTTAAGCAAAATAATAAAGTTTGGTACTTAATGATTAATCTTTACTTTAGGCTAGAGTGACGGATAACACTCTAGAAAGTACTTGTTGAAGAATTGGTTTTGCATGTTGGCCACGGCGGGACAATGGCAGAGATAATGTTCGATGCTCTCCAACTCTTCCTCGGCTTTGCAACTGCGACAAAAATCGTTGGTGGGGTATCCTAACCTATTTCCGTGTGCGCCCATCAGGCAGTGTCCGGTGATTACTTCGACTAGTAATCTGAGAGACGGTTCAGCCGAGTGAGGGCTATGAATCGCCTTACATCAATATTTGACTAAATTTCCACAGCCCACCTGGTATATACCTCCTCGATGAGTTCAGCCTTTAGTCTGAGTAGAATAACTTCAAGGTATTTAGCCTCGGTTGAGAAAGAAAGTGCCACCACGTTCAGGGTAGCAGGCTTGAATAGAAGAGTTTTGCACTTACTTTTGAAACGTACTTCTCGGGCTAGGTGGGATTGACGCTAAGTCTACATTCCTTGAACCAGACGTTTACAAGACTGAGTGCATTTTGCAATAATTCACTCAGGACTTGCAGATGTTTGCCCGTTGCTGCGATTGCTATGTCGTCAGTATAATCTATGACTTGACAACCGGTGCCCTGGTCACATAATTTGTAATGGAGACGTCTCCTAGTTCTGACCGAATTGTTCCATTTTCAAATGCAATCGCATAAGCCACTATTTTCGTCGCCACTATTTTAAAATAATTTGCTCTACAGTTTTGCGCAAAAAGAACATTATAAAATTCCTATTTGTGTTATCTGGGTTTTACAAAGAGTAAAAACATGGATTTTCTTTGAGATTTGCAACAATTAAATTACAATAAAAATAAAATATAAAACTTTTTGTGATTAAATTTAAATGGTGTTCATTTTCATTAATCCAATCATAAAAGATTTCATAAATTTAATTTCATTTTTGCGTTGCTTCAAAAGGCTGTGCTACTTTGAACGCTTGTGTGATTAATCGCCAACAGATCAATAATTACGTATAAACTGCAAAGGACGTAGCTGAGTTCTCAGTGAGTTCTTATTTTGCATGTATGTATGTATGTATATATTGTAGTGCTAAACTGCATGATGAACTGAAGTGAAAATGGGGGATAGAGCGCAATATTTATCAACAGAAGGTGGGTGTTTTTGTGGTGAGCGTGAAAAACAAATTATCTGCTAGCAGCGAAAATGCACTTGCAACAAAGTTACTTAAACGGTTGCAGATGAGTAAATATACATAGGTGAAAGGCGCAGTCATTAATAGTCATTTTCGCAATTTAATACGCTCTAACACTTACACACCTTAAGTTGCCAACCCATCGCTTGCCATCCACTCTTCCTACGCGGCATTCGTGCACTGCACGCCATTATATACATATCTACTTAATTATACGCTCAAGTTTTGCACATTTGCCATGCACATTTTAATTTAAAGTGTTTAAAAACCTTTGTACATATGTGTTGAGTTATTTATAGCATTTGTTGTTCATTTACGTGCGTTTGTTTGTTTATGCAATTTTGTATTGTATGGGCTTATGTGTGTAGGAATGATTAATGAAATCTTAAACGAAGCAGTAAGTGGAAAATTAATTAATGCTTATCATTGCACGCGTTGATAACTGTCAGCTTAAAGGCATGTTAATTACAAAAAGATTTATCAATTTCCGTTGAAGGGGAGGGCAGCAAGTAAATGAGTGTGGGTAATTGTGATGGTGCAAAGTATGTAAAGTTCAAAGAGGAGATTAATTTCCGAAAAGGTTAGTTTCTAGGGAAACTTCACAAACTAAGCTTTATGGTCAACAAAATGTAAAATTTTTTTCTTGAAAATTTTTTTGGTATACCGAAGTATACTAGCTTTTGTCCACGGCTCTACCTGGTGACATTATGATTTAAAAATATGGTGATGCTATGATTTCAAAATGTAATAAAAAAGTAAAAAAAAAAATAATACTTTAATACAAAAATAATAAGTTTATTTAAAAATGTTGCTAATTATCTCGAAGAAGCTGAACATGGTCAATGTGTCGAATTTTAACTAAATTGGCCATTTCAATATAAAATTAAACTTGCATTTGGTAGCTAATATTTGTACTATATGTATGCATTTTTTAAATTATTTTTCATATCAATATCTCGTTAGAATATGTATTTCAATTCGCTGAAACAGAATAAATATATTTAAATTTGGAAACGGTGGAAAATTTTTGCTGTCAGGCAAAAGATATTTTATTTTTAAAATGTTCACACAAATTTAATTTGATTTTTTTAAACAGATTACACATTCTGCTTCTTAAAAAAGATTTGTTAAAAATCTTTCGTTTGACATCCATATTGTAAATTTTTCTTAAATTAACTTTAATATTTAAACAGCTGGCAACCCATATATTTTGGATATTTTTTTTTACTTTCACTAGTTATAGGTCATTGAAGTCAATGTTTAAAATTAATTACCTTTAAACAGGTGGCGACCCTCTTTAGAATTATTTTTGAAAGGAAGCTTTCCTACCCCCTTTTCGATTGACAGCCACATTGCAATACTTTATTTATGAAAAAATGGAACTTGACTTTAAAACAAGTGGCAGCTCTCTTCATAATATTTTCAAAATAAAGCTTTCATACAGCTTATTCGTTGGCAACCCATATTGTAATACTTCATTTAAAATGTGAATAAAATTTAAGTTAACTTTTCAAAAAGGTGGCAACCCTCTTAAAAATATTTTCGTAATATTGTATTTTTAAACTCGTTCGTTTGGACTTCTTATTGCAAAATAAAAATTAATTTATAATTTAACTTTTTGGCAGGTGGCAACCCTTTTCTAAAAATATGCTCTATGGTGATCCAGGTCATAAGATGTTCGTATGCCGAATTTTATACAAAGAAAGAGTAACGAACACACACTCACAAACTCTGAAATTTATAGCAGAAGTAGGATTTCATCTAACTTGCCAATTAAAATGATTTGGAATTTCAAATTCAAAGATATTGCTGTCCTTAAACCTTTCTCGTTTGATACCCATATTCAAATATTTTATTTAGTTTCATACATAAATTGAATTTGGATTTCTAAACGGATGGCAGCACCCCTTAAAAATGTTTTTGAAATAAAGCTTTCTTAAACCTCTTTGGCTCGATACTTAAATTAAAATATTTTGTTTAACGTGTTAGTTAAATATATTAAATCTTTTTGAAAAGGTGGCAACCCTTTACGAAATATTCGTAAATAAAGCATCTTGAATCGTCTCCCATTTGACAACCATATCAAGCCCCCTTTAAAAATATTTCTGAAATAAAATGTCCTAAACCTCGCTTGTTTGATACCCTTATTAAAATACTTCGTTTAACTTGTTATTTCAATTTGTTTTAACTTTTTGAACAGCTGGCGAAAAAATAGTATTAAACCTTTTCGTTATACACCCACATTGCTGTGATATTTTATTTCACTTATTAATTAATTGATTTTAACTTTTGACAAAGGTGGCAGCTCTACTTGAAAAAAAATATCCTATATCAAGTCATGAGATAACTGTGCGTCAAATTTCATTAAAATACGTCCAGCCGTTTTAGTGTGAAAGAGCAAACACAAACTTAAAAATTTTTAATAGTACGATAGGACTGAAAAAAACTTCGTTAATAGCCCCACATGAATTTAAAGTGAACACAAGCCACTGCCCTGGGTTTTAATTTCACAGAAATCACTGCAGTCACTCATACGCACCGTATTCCAAAAAGACTGTGCACTCGCATACATACGTGCATAAACAAATTGAAATACGTACATGGAAATCTCTGAATTCCGCATAGCAAGAAAAGCTAATATTTATTCCCAAATGTATAATTTCAAAAATAAAGAGTTCGTACACACCGTCATTGCCGCCATCACCACCACCAACCCGCAGAATTGCACAGCACAGCAATACGCAATGTACGTTAAAGAAATGAAAATCCCCCAATAAAAACAACTCAATAAAGTTCCAATGAATTCTGGACGAAGGCATACAATTTTGTTTTTAGTTTACTTAAAACAAGTCGAGATATATGTACTACATACATTTGTTTACACATTCTGATGTTTTTTTTAAGAGAAACTCTCAACCAAATTCGTTGCATTTGCACTGTAAGCAACAAGAATTTGAGTAAACCAATACTGGTTAATACCAGACATTTAGAAGTGAAAAATTACAACATTTTTTTCTTATTTAATTTGAGCGTTTTAGCAAGATTTGGTTAAGGCTGAATTAATGAGACTTTGCATTTGGAAGTCAATTTGCTTTTCGTGAGTTCCTAAAAATCATTAAAAATCATAAGTAATTACTAAATGCTTAACGAATTTTCTCAGTCATGAGTTGAAACGAAATGCAAAAAATAGTTTTAATGATCGTGGAAGAAATAATCTTTGATAGTTAAACTATTGAACAAGAGACACATTCTTTCCAAGAAAGCTACACGTCTAAAAAATGAAAGCAATCTGTTGTTGACTATTAAAAGAATAATGGCTTTTTTTATTAAATAATATGGTAACGGGCAGGAAAAACTAGCTATT